GTTATAGTTATGATACAGATGTTTTAAGATAATTGCAACAGATATTTCCAGATTTGCTTTGATAAATCTATGAAAATTATATTAGAAAAAGACCATCCTTCATTAATTATAAGCAAGATAAGATAAACATAAAAACCGTTTGCTTCGCTGTAAAGAGCGTGGTATCTAGAAATAATGTATCTTATTTAGTAGAGTTTTGACATGCTGTTTTCATTTCCAATGTCCCATTGACCAACCCTGGACGAAGTTGAATGATTTTAATATCGTTTCTAGACCACTTTTACGAGGATTGTTCTATCTCTTGCGTACTATAAAATTAAGTTATGATGCCAGTTATGTCATTTAAATTATTCCCGGTCTCTTGATATCGGTACTACATCAATAATTGATTGCATGTACACTCCCCTCCATAAGTTTGGCAACCTTTTTCCCCCATTGAACTACGTGTTAAAGCCTCTTTACCTTTGAATTTTTATTTACTTAACCTGCGATGAAAATACTTATACTATAGGTGGAAACGTAATTTGACTTTAATTCCAATACCTCCAAATTTTCTCATTTTTTTTCCTCAATTACAATAGGTCGAAAATTGATGATGAATTTGATGATTTTTTGAAAATCGACATTCCCATGTTAACCAATGGGAAATGGTAGGTTTGCCGCAAGTCATATGACAGAATATCCATCCATCCGAGTCCTTGCAAAAAATACGAGTTAGGCAGGTAATTGAATTTGCGAACTTTATTTAATAAAAAATTGATATGTTTCTTCAGGTTCAACAAAGTTATAGGGCTTTAAAGTCAAAATTGTTTTTCAAAAAACCTCTCCCATTGAAATAACACAGGAGGCGAAAAATAATTTTCAAAAATGACTTTGAAGCGCTGTAACTTTAATATTCATCAAATAAACTAAACACTTAGTGTTCAAAAAAGTTAGATAATTCAATTTTCTATATGAAAATATTTTTTGCTGAATCTTTTACTGAAAAGATATTCTGATTTCTGATTTGCCCTGAACCCTCCATTTCCCATTGGATTACATGAGAATGACGATTTTCAAAAATTCATCAAATTTATCATCAATTTTCGACCTATTGTAATTGAGGAAAAAAAATTAGAAAATTTGGAGGTATTGGAAATAAAGTCAAGTTACGTTTCTATCAATATCATAAGTTATTTCATCGCCGGTTAAGTAAATAAAAATTCAAACGTAAAGAGGCTTTAACACGTAGTTCAATGGAGAAAAAAGGTTGCCAAACTTATGGAGGGGAGTGTATATCAGGTTAATTCAGAATATTGTCTTGCTTGTTCTGATCCTGGATAGAATAGTGATATTGGTTCTCGATTGGTGGGGGAAGGGGTGTTAGACATAACTTATTTTCACGTTAGATCATGGTTTTGGGATAAATAGGGCCTACTTTTCTACTGACAAGTTTTAGAGTTTGTTTTTCTTGCTAAGTTTCTATATAGTTTTGGGTCATTTCCCTTTCGTACTTGTGCTTAGATATTTGTATCGAATTATGAAAACACTGTGAAAATACCGAAACAGATCGAGCTGTATAAATACACATTGGGAAGGGGGAACTGAGATGCGGCGGATCGGGGGCTTCATACCAGATTTATTTGATATGTACACAAACAAGATTCTATAGAAATTATGTTTTCTTTTCATTTTATGAAATGATTTTACACATTTGGAAATATCTCACATTTGTTTTTTTCAACTGTCACAAATTATAAGAATATACGCAGTAACAGTAAGGAATTTAGATATTATATGAAGGTCATTAATTTATAAAGAAATATGGTCGAATTATTGAACCTTGTGGCACTCCAATGTTAATGGGTCATATTTCAGACTCTCAACATACCCTCAACATACAAACTATCTCTCAAACTATCTCAAGCTCTTAACATGCAATCTGATTTCAAGATACTGTTGGGTTTGGATACTATGCTAATAGATGTAAACTACAAGTGAACGAATGCAAGACAATTGGCTGTTATGCGCTTTAATGAGGATTGGGATATTTCACATATTTCTAGACTATTTATGACCCAATTTTAAGGAAAAGCTGACTGCCAACAACTGCATGATTTTCTGTCGATACATGTACTGCCACCTTTTGTATTTGCATTTTAATACATAATACATGATTAAAATGTATTGAAATAAAGAAAATAAAAAAAAACGTTTATATTTGATACTTTGAGTTGATTTCAATGTTTAAATCTTGTAAACCCTTTTTAGAACGTTCACCTTTAATAGACTTCTAGGAGTGACCACTCAATGACAAAAGAATAGTAATCTAAAACTGCAGAGGAGTGGCCATACTTGAGGAGCTAAAGAAAATAATTAGCACTCACATTCAAATGCCATTCGTGAGTCCATCAGTTAAGCCTTGAAAATTAATATCATTTAAACTTAAACTAATTTTATTTTGATGAATAACGAAAGTGGCTAGGCTGCTTTATTTACTCTCAGGTTTAAAAAGAGTATTATCCTCTTAGAAAAAACGATGAGATTATCTCAAAACAAGTTCTATATTGATATTTTTATTAACGATGTGTTGAAATACCTATAAACAGCCACTTAGAGACTCAGAGCAGTATTTACACCTTTTCCTGATACATAAAGGCACACAAATGCGTCGGACGGATCTTAAGCCAACCGGTATTAAATTCAATAAAATTATTTAGGAATGTCCGCATTTCTCTGTTCAGGCACTACAGCATTCAACTGGTTTGTCCTTGATATATACATATTTGGTTTTAATTACGTCACTACCACAAATGGTGACGTATTGTTGAAGTCTCTATATATTTTTGGCTGTTGTTCAGCGATTGATTGTCGGCGACTGTAACAGCGTTCGGCGGTCGGCGTTTGTAACAAATGGTATGTGGTGACATTTTTCATGCTAATACATTGTATGAGTTTATAGAGGATGTTCTTTTATGTTCTTATTTCAATGATTTGAATCAAACTTCTCAAATGATTGATCTGTCATTATTGTTGCTAACAGCCTCGTTTTGAAGCAAGTAGCAAAAGTTCGTTATCCATAAGATACGATGCGGTATCTCATGATTTAAAAGCCATATTCGATGTTTTAGTAAAAATGATATTTTCCATTGATAACAAAAATACTAAAATGATATCTTTGATGAAAGTAAGTATGGAGTAATTAATAATATCTCGTGTATATTTAGTCGTCATAAGAAAGTAGAAAACGAGCTTATTTTGTAAGAAAAGTATAGTGATTTGGTAAATATTGACAAAAAAGATTCCCGAACAGAAATTTGGTATGGTTTTGTATGAGAAAATGCTTACACAAAAAAATATCAACACAATTGAAAAATGTATTCGTCTAAGATTAGAGACTTGCATTTGTCAATTCGTAAATACATTTGTGTAATATTCAAATATAAATCTAAAATACGAAAAAGATGCCTTTACATGTGTAAAAAATAAATTGTGGTTCCTCTTGTTACGGAATGTAGCGTTTGATTAAGTAATCTGTTGACAGTTCCCAAATCCCACATTGCTAAATTACGGTAGAATCGTTTAATATTGTTCAGCAGAAATGATACGGCAAATTAACTATACAACTCCAAGGGAATGCTCGATTGTCCTAATTAATGAAATATAGCAATCATGATGCTTGTATTGGCCTAAATAACATTGCAATTATTAGCGCAACATCCCAAGGGGTAAATTATTGTTTTACTTTCCCTCATAGTTGTACTCACGAGAAACAATAAAATACAACACCACTTGCGTTCACTGATGTCGTACAGAAAACACGAAGACATCAGTGTCCGCTGGCTATCAGAGAGAACACTTAAGTAATTAGTGTCCAATATCAGAGAAAGCATAAAGTAATTCGTCCGCTGACAGAGAAACATCAGGTAATTAGTGTCCAATATCAGAGAAATTATGAAGTTATTAGTGTCCAATATCAGAGAAAACATGAAGTAGTTTTTGTCCAATGTCAAAGAAAATATGAAATAAATATTGTCTAATATCAGACAAAATATGGAGTTATTAGTGTCCGATATTAGAGAAAACATGAAGTAGTTAGTGTCAAATATTAGAGAGATCAAATAGTAGCTATAGTCCTGTATACAAGTCTTGGAGAGACCCGAGTTCTCCTGGCTTGTAAACAGGGTCTCTTTAACACGGATATATCATTTTTGCTAATTGTATTTGCAAGAGATACTAGAGATTGATGCGGAGATTTCTGCGATATTGCTACAGATAGGTGACCTTACACGGAGCACATGATCCGTCAATATCAGCAGGAGCCACACGGCTATGTCAGATAAATGTGATGTATCATACGCGATACCAAACACACTAATAAATACCGTAAACATAACTGGAATGTAAAATATAAGATGTTACTGAAGATGTTACTTCGATCATCGGAAATGATAATTAAACGAACTTTCATGGCACTCGCATCACAGTGGGATTCGTATTAATAATGATCTTCTGTAAGATGGAACGCATCTGTACATTCCATGGATATAATTCAGTTGATAACGATACACAACGCTTGTTTTTCTTAATTAATGATTATAATTAACTGTAATTTGCTATTGATGATGTATAAATTGTTGTTGTTCAATTAAAAAATATACCTTTAACATTTCTAATATGTCACGTAATTCATCATAATAGTTAAATAAAAAGTACCGTAATAAAAAAAATAATGATATATAGCATATGTATTCATTCATAAGTGAATACATGCATGAATGACGTTTAACGTCTCTGGCCTTTGATCAGGAATAACAGAAGAATACTGACTGTCGAAATGCTGTATATGCTCATTGCCCCTACAACGGGACACTTTATCCTATGCAAGTATTTCATAGAATAATCATTTAGAATGTTCTGCATGTACGAACTCTGGGGAAAATATTCCATCGATAATGAAGATACATATAAGTTATATAAGTACGTTAATAGTTACTGAGTATTAAACCAAATATACTTACCTCACAGTTGTGATCGTCAGGACGCTTAACATTATACCAATCCTGAGCGTGTACATGTCATAATCCGTAAATATATATTACTAGATATACGTCCAGAATTCCCCTGTCACAGTCCCGATACGGAACGCTAGTGTATCTCACCGAATTCACCTCAGAATCAAGGCTAGTACATTATGCGCATGCGCCAATATTTTCATACGTCACGATGAGGATGGTGTTAGATATATTGATCTTTTCCTATTTAATATTATTCTGGCTTCATTTTAATACAGAATCAGGTTTTGGAACTGACTTTGATGTATCCACCTGACATCTAATGGTGGAAAAGTGGAGTAAAAGTTTCTATCTAAAGCTCGTTTCTTCATCTGTCCTGTGATTGGAGTCAGTCAAATATGTCGATATCTGAAAGTAAATTACTTTATTAGTCCATATAATACGCATATATAAATTGAATATACCCTGTGAATTTGGATCATATGTTGAATATATCTTTCGTATCTGTAAAATTGTTAAATTGCGTCTAACTGTGGATCGCCTAGTAGGCACTATATGTCAAAACTCAGCAAGGGTCTAAACAAGAATAGAATGAACTTTGATTGTTTCACAAGTTTGTTGTACCCCAGTTTGGTTCAAATGAAAATAGATGGCCGTTACCTCATTTTTGTTTTAATTTTAGTTTTCCAAATTCAATTTCCGATGTTAGATGAACGACCTTTGCGCACGGATGTAACCCTTATTTATCACTACGAATCGGCATAAAATAGTGTCTGGATCATCCGACTGTAATTTCCGCTGGTCCAAATTACCTTCGTTACAGCTGATGAAAGACTATGTATTACATATTTTTCATCCTCAAAGTTTTAATGTTCTTTTCGGATGGTCATTGGTTCAGACAAGTTCATACGGCGTTGTTTAAATTATTTACAATAGTGCCTTTCATTTATTAAGTATCTACTTTACTTTTACAAAAACGACAATTCGCATACAAAGTCCCCCTATATGTATTCAAAAAATATTTTCTATTGTTATGTCGTGTTTGTTCAAAGGGGCAACAGCCAATGTAACGATATTTGCAGACATGGCACAAATACTAAAAAGGTCTATGAATACAAATTCCTCATTCAAAAACCATAATATCAAAACTTTATAATAATTGAATGTTAAAAAACGACAAGTCAGAAAAGTAAATATTTTTTGTATTCTACAGAATCCAAGTGCATAGGTGATTGTTGAGAATATTGTAAGCTCTAATCCTCAAAGACGTATACCGTGTGACCGGATGTGCGGACCGAATATCTCGCCAGCTTTGAGTATTTGCTTTACTCTGGTGTTCGTTTCCAGTAGGTACTGTCTGGAGAAGACAAATTTCGATAAACTTGATGCTCACAAGCACAACACAGGTAAATATTTTGTCGTAGAAATATTAGAAATAACGATTCATTTGTTTTGCCTGATTGTGAACATGCATATAACCGATTTTTGTAACATGAAGAGTGGTTATGTAATTACAGAAAAACAAAAATTAGAAGGATTGTGTTACAAAATGTTTGCGATTAAATATTGGTTTAATATTCAGCATTACTGTCTATTGTTTATAAAAACAACCATGCATGCACATTAACCATATTTAATTAAATATAATAGACCGAAGAGCAGGTGTTATATCGACGAATACAGACCACGGGGATAGGCACAAAAGCCTTCGAACCCCTCACTCCCTTCGGTCGTTTGGGGTACAGAAAACGTGTGTGCCTAGCCATGCGGTCTGTATTCGTCGATATAACACCTACCCTAGAGGTCTGTATTACGATTCGAACATGAAAACTCACCAAAATGTTTCGAATATTCATTATGGTCCGTTATGACTACGGCCCGCCGATATATCGTCACACATTACTCGTATTACCACGTGCAGTGTCGACGAATACGTACCGGGTGAAATAATGACTTTGCTCACAGTTTATAGAAGGTGTGAATACAGTCATGTTCGAATCAACTTTACATAACAGTACACGTATGCGCTTATAATGTCTCAGAGCCCAGAGGAGTTAAAGTACATATGTTATAATTTGATTAATTGTATAAGCACTATCGGGTCGACTGATGTATGGTTTATGTCTTCTGCAGAATGAAACATTGTCTTTCTTGGGTCCCGTTAGTATCTAGTTCGTCATTTTGTTACATAAAATTTATCATTCAGTCTTGATCAATAATTTCTTCTCGACGCTTTTCACATTATTCTGTCCGCATCTATAGGAAAATTAGATGGCTTGGAAAAGGGGGAGAAACCCCAGGGTTCAAAGATGACATACGCTTATAATGTAAATCTGTATTGAGATGACATCGTCGCTGATTGGTTTAGCGAGTCGATCGTTGATTGGTTTAAAACTAGGTCAATTTGAAAACTTTGAAAACCAAGATGGAGGGAAGTATAAATATACGTATTTCCAGGAAAGGAGGAGCGCGAAGGAGGAAATCGTATGTCATCAATTGAATCATGGGGTTTTCCCTCCTCTTATGGCTTGGGTGAAGCGAGACGCATAGTAGATGAGGCAAGTGCCACACCAAATTTTACAGAACATTATTAATTCATTTTATTAATTATTAATTTTTGCCACCCCACTGAAATCCAGTAATGGTATTGTATTCATCATGTACATTATTCCATTTTTTCCAACAGATACTGTTTCAATTTGGATTTTAGCTTTAATTTTGCGTCGCCATTTTTAATTTCCCTCGCCATTTCAAATTTGCAAACCCTTGAATGGCTGACGTTATCAATAACTTGCATTGATATATTCCATTTTGCACAGGAGGATATAAGATACTCGATAAAGTCTAACGAATAACGATGCCTCCTTTTCTTTAATTGCACTTTTCATCGAAAGTAGATCAGATGTTCTCATTAAATTTCAGTGATCTGTTATAAGAAGATAGATTCACAGCAATTAGTGAAAGGTAAGCCTATTGAGAGAGGCGAGAGATACTAAACCTCTTAAAAATGTCAAAAGATTTTCTCATTTGAAGACTTGAATCGAGCCTGATTTAGAAAACATAATGAAAGTACAAATTCACTTATAAAGGAATAGTCAACCAAATGTTTTCGAATTCGGTTTCTGTTCGGTTCGGTCTTTTGACTCCAGGACAAGCTACATTTGGTATAAACGCAGAAAATAGATGTCACCACCATACTAGGAATACACGAGCAAATTAAACACAAGGAGGATTGGCTCCCAGGATCGAAACTCGATATTTTCCAACAATGAAAACGTCGAAATGTCGTTATTTTCTGAAATTAAAACCGACTATAAATTCAAAATAAACAGTTCAAAAGATTCGAACCAATATCTCGATCATTTCTTGTGAGTTTTGGAATTTTTCGTTTGGAAATAAGACCAAAATTCACGATTTAAATGTTGAAGTGAACAAAATGGCGGCTGTTTGAATTCGAATTTTGTATTACGACATACCCATATATGGGACAGAATATCGGTGGTGCACTCTGGGAGCCAATCCTCCTTGATTAAACAGTAAGTTAAAGTTTCAACAAGTATCGGGAGAATCCGACAAAGGCGACGCAACAACAATGATCCAATTTGTTTAACATGATTATCAACCTATATTCAATCTACATAATAAAACAATTTGTAAAACACCGGGAGATTAATTATTGAACTGGATTGCTTTTATGAAATAAACCTCTAAGTCAAGGTGTTCGTGATTTTATTGTTTCTAAAAATAGATCAATAAAGGCTATTCTCTTGGAAACACGGGAATAAAACAAAGTTGTGTTGGCATGCGTGAGAACTCTAAGACATTGCTTAATGGGTTTATACACCTTTGAGTAAGAAAACCCCAGCTTCATAATAAGATAAACCTACTGAATGGCCTTCCGTAAAAGATAATGACCCATCCAAAAAATATTTAGACAACATCAAAATACATTTTTCTTAAATGATCGAAAATGTTCAATATTTCTGTGCCACGAGTCTCTATATTCCCGAGTCAATGCACACCGTCTTTAGATTTGTAAAATATATAGAGAAAAAAGCCAACTGTTGTATACCTTTAAATAATTAATCGTTTGTTGCTTTTGCGTCCACAGGGTTGAACCAGGTGTTAATACAAGCACCCCATCGGCGCTAATTCAGATTTGTATACAAATAGACTATACTTTATGAGATCTGCAATCTCTATCATAGCCCATCTTAAGGTAAACATAGACATTTGATGAAAGCAACATTTGTTATACTCGGTGTGTGAAAATTCCTTTGAGATTTATAAATATTTAGTATACCCATATCTATATGGGTTTATATCAACCACGTCTTTAACCTTGCACTTTTTCTGATAATTTTGGTGAAAAAATAAATTTTCTCTGTACTTAGACCTGTACTTGAAATAAAGAAGTAATCAGATGGTACTTTTTGATGTTTGTGGCTCTCATGAAATAATTCAACAAATGATTGACGATTAAACCAAAGGACTACATTTGCAAAATAAATATATGAAAGAACCAATGCTATTCTTCTCATAACTACATCTGCTAAACAAATAACATGTAAGAACATTGTGCTATTTTCTAATCTGATTGTTTATTATGGGTTGTTAAAACATATGTTTTACTTCTGGTAATCACAGTAGGCCTTTCGATGGTCATTGATGCTATAAAGTGGTTTCCTGTTAATGAACAAAAACACAGGGGCAAGCCAAAACACCATTCTGTGGTTTCCGTACATCGATCATCTACCAATACTTGCAAAAAGAAATCTGATTCTCATCCATAGTATAGATATAGATTATCTTCATTCAAATTTTATGACATTCAAACCAAATGTGGTTTATTCAAATCGGTGGGTTTTCATAACTATTCCCTGATATTCTGAACACTGCTAAATGCTAATGTTTAGTCCTATTTTAGTACTTCTAATGAAATGGGGGTTTGTGATTGATGGCCATTTTGAAATTTGAAATTAAAAATGGCGACCCCGGTTGATATCTTTACATCATCTTAAGAATTATTTCAGTCCAAAAAATTCCGAGACAATATATGAGTGAAATCAGAATTCTATGGGCTGTTTACAAACAAAAGCAGTATATTGAAACTATTTTGATGTAAACAAACAAATAATCATGTTGACGAACCTTGGCCTTGTCTGATCCATTGTTCACCTGTTTATTTGTGTTGCTTTACTTATACAACACTGTATATGGATAGGGTCTTGTTTCCTTGTTATCAAACACATTGATTTGAATTATTAGAGGGAAATATTGATCTAGATATGAAATAGACACAAAAATTTTCCCCATATGTCCATGTCAAGACACGACTTCTGGTATCAGAGTTTGCTCCACTATTTGTTCGATATCATAAGATTCATTTTGTTTGTTTTTATATATTTTCAACTTACTGCAAACTTCACTTAGTGGTGATAAGTGTTGCTTTTATAGTGGACACCCTGTAGATATAGATATGAAGAAACGTCTTGGTGCATCCGTGTTAAGACCAACTCTTACTGTTAGCGCGTAATTGTTTGTTGATCTTCTTAATTTACTTGAGGATATGGCTTCTTATGTGTTTTTATATATTTTTTACTTCGAGTTTCATTTCATTTCATTCATTTTCTTTGGGCTAGCTTAGTGCATCTGATGGTAATATCCTTTGATTTTCAAGATACCAGATATGAATTATTGGTATATAATTCACAGAGAACATATCTGAATCAATGTGTAACTTGTCTAGTTAATCTCGCAAAGATTTATGGTCATCTTTATGACCTAAAGTGAACCAAATAAATTGGGATATCCAAATATTTTTGCTTCAATTAAACAAGCAAACGGACATGATTTACAACGTTAGTATTTCAGCGGATACCGTTAGATCGCATGTATGTTGCAGACACTTACGTTAACGTTACGAGCTTACATATGTCTATTATTAAACAAACTCAGAAAACGAGCTAATAAAGATTCTGGCGATTCAAGATCACATCTCCAGATCAGTGGTTAATGGTGGTGCTTAGCAATCGCTTCTTTGTAAAGGAAGCGAAAAAGGCCAAATCTTCATCAAGATAGGTGTAACTGGCGCCAAAATCATCTTTACTCTTACTTTTACATCAGATAATTTAAATAAAATCAAAATGTTTAAGAACGAGAAATATGGAGCTGATCTACAAATACGCCACCAATATGAAGATAAGAATAAGAATTTATAATATAAAGTTGATACGGCAATAAAGGACGATTTGTTTAATTGCCTTTGTAAATGAATCAATCCTTCATCAGTTGTATCCTGATGAGTCTGACAAAGGAATGTAGATGATTAGACATCGAATGTAAATGATCTACGGGCGGTTTCTGTATTTGTGGCATTCTGTGAGTGTATTAATGTGGGTGTACCTAACAAGTAGCCAAATGACACGATACATTATCCGAGAATGAAAGACAGACGAACCGAACCATAGTGACATGATACGGTATTAATGACGATATTTATGACCATGTACCACATACGTAATGCCTTTATTACTACGTATGCTACATCATAATTTAATTCATAAAAAAATGTTTGGATGGAAACCTGTCTGTACGGTACCAGATGGTAACTCTTAGTACTACAAGCTGTAATTCGCCGAATATAGAACAATTCTGTTTTACGGAAATCAACAGCTTGGAACAGAATTTTTGTATTTCACCAGAAACAATAGATTGTATCTGTCCACACCTTCTGTTGGTAAGGATTATATAACAAAATATAAGGTATGTTATCAAATTATTTCGAATCAATGGCAGGAAGCAATCCAACGTGCAACAGCAGTTAAAATAGAAACATCGATTTTGACCTTATCGAACAGGCGCAAACCATTTGAAAATCGGCTCAAAATTTACAATTGCTAAACCAGACCACATTTTATTAATTACGAGAAAAAAACAACAACAAAATAACCGATTCTGAAATGTGATTCTGCATTCGTAGACGTAGCCTACTTGAACGGACTTCTAAAGGTCCGTAATGAATTTTGCCTAATATGTTCTTCATATTTGACAAGGATACTTCAGTGGCCAATGCGATCTGCATAATCACGAAATTTCTATTTCAACGGTGGATCGATGTCATTTTTGATGATTAGACCATTCCTTGATTTGTTAGCTCAAGTCTCTCTGACGCTAATTCAATTTAACTAAGTACAATCATAACAAGTTCCCCTGATGACCAAATTACCAACCGGTTTTCATCCCAATTAAACGACATAATAAAAACAGACAATTTCCGAGACTAGCTGTACAAGTGTCATGTAAGAAATCATAGGATTGAATAGCTTCCTTTCTAGATATATACCTTCCACTAACCTATTTGATTTACATTCACAGGTAATTTTTTCCTCCAAATTAATTTCAAAATTTAGATCTCTTTTACCTTACAGAAATCAATCCCCTTCGATTCGATGATAACATTGTTTTATGTAGCATTAGCGGTGATAAGTCGTCTATAATGTACTTACCCGTATCTGGAAGATGTGTTCTCCCTTTACACATCGACCTATCAGGCATCTATCGCTTACAGCTCTGAATGCATTGGATAAATGACAATATATGCTGTTCTGTTTTTTTTCATTTTACTTAAAAAGTTCATTCAATTTGATTTCTGCAACGGTTACCATGCAACGGCTCCGTTATCGCTTCAATTATACTTTTTTTTGATGTGTTATGCATGGAACATTTCGCAGCGAGAGTTCCAATTCCATGTATCATCCAAATACGTGGAAATGTCTTTTTAACCCCCTATAACGATTTCCCTAGATAAAACATATTAAATCTGTCGTTGTCATGGTAATTCACTCAGAAATATAGCACTGCAACTTGAACACATCTTGCTTGTGAGAATTAAATGTTAGAATGATCCTCATCGCCGGAGAACTCTATTCTATGACATCATAGGTGGCGCAACGGTCTGCAGTTAGAGATCAATATCCAATGACTGTTTGCATTCTGGCAGAAACTTGCGTATCGTGAATTCTTCTGCCTATTGCAGTTCTCATCCGTCCGATATCGGTCTTGAAAGATTCAAGAGACGGTAATATTACACCAATAAAGACGTTTAGATCAATCGTTTTGTTTGCAAGTATTTCCGAATTACTTTTCAGACGGAGAGAAAGTTTCCTAGTGCTGTATCTGCCGAGGCGACAGGAGTATTGATAGTGTGCCGGTCCGGAGGCAATATCAGTGATGGAATGCTAGTCGCAAAAGCGCAATGAGAACATTTACTCGCCGCACTTGAATATTACGTCATGAACGGCAGAAATATAGGTCACGTGATACAAGGATTGACAGTGTTGACGTTGCTTCATGCCTGTATGCAAAGGTGAGACAACATTCATTATAAATAACTTGTGCAGATATCAAAGATATAAATTCCCGAAATGGTGAAACTAACTTGAAAAAGATATACGCCAATAAGTGTCACAAATGGAAAAAAACTCATTAAACGGTTCCACTATGTTTTATGGCAAATCAGAAAATTGTAGTTCATAATTAATCGTTGATTATCCTCTGCTTACCACTCCTCGAAATACAGATCCTGAAATTATCCCAATTCGATCATTTTTCATTTGATGCTGAAGGCGCAGTGTGTGCGTCGAATGTTGTGAGACGTTTGCCAATAGTATATGCAATAGCTACATTAGCCAATGACAAACATGCCAACTATGTTTTGATAGTATTTATGCTCTGATTTTTTATTGTTTCAAAAATATGTCGTTCTGTCCCAATCGATTTAGTGGTAAATGCATACTGCGCTTTTACATTAGACAATCTTTGGACTGATTGGTGAATAACACGCGTGCCAAACATCTTCAAGGGATGTCATCCGAGTGTATTCCCACTTAACAAATCAGTTTTGGAAATGGGATGCTAATATTGTTCAAAATATGCTAACGAACGACATAGCCACAGACTTTTTTAATAGCAAACCCAAATGTTAAAGAGCATCTTCACCGTCAAAGTTAAGATTACCATGACTCCAATCTGATGAGTTCAGGAGCATCTCTATGCAGTTATTCAAGCATTGAACCCGTGGGACGTCAAACCTTGCTCTATCAACAACTTTGGTCCTTGCTGTAATAGAATGCGATGTTTCAATTAAAAGTCTCTCTCTGGTATATCACCCTCTGGACAGAAAATATTTCTTTTTCTTTGATTTTCCTTAGGCTTAGATATATCGGCGCATTTAAAGCTTTCCACTCCCGTCTTTGATTTGATGTTCATTCTATCCATGGTAATTTGTGTAAAAGGTTTCACAATCAAAATATTTTGGTAAGGACGTCGTTTGGTTATCCTAGGTTACACTGGTCGGTAATTTGCAGTCGTTTTACGCTCCCTTAAGTATTGTTTGCATAGTAATTGGGCTCTGATTAGAGGTATCTCTACTTTTCACTTGATACACGGACCAGTCAGTCTAATTGACAATTTGTTAGACTTCGTTTTTACAGGAGTTTGGAATAAAGAATGATGATAAATTGATGTAGAACGATATATCAGTTCCTTGTTCAATTAGTTGTTATCAACTCAGTAATGATTCTTATTCCCAGCTTTAACCATCCCTGGCATTTGCTTGCTATAACGTATACTGCAATTCTATAAAGGAAATCGAAATAATATATTCCACCCGGTAGTCTTTTTCAGGAACATTTTCAGTACTTGAGACCCTCGCTATCGAATCAGGAAATAACTTGTACATAATGTGTGTATATTATTTATATCGTTAGTTTAATATAATTTGTATTAAGTCTTCCTGTATATGCCTTGGGTCCCCCATAATCTACAATCAAAATCAAGGAGGGGTCCAAACTCGACGTATGACCTTCACCTTGATCGATGACAACATTGAAAATGTCGTTATTATAACTGACTAAAAATTCATAATCAGTGATCCAAAAGATTTCAACTAATGTTTTGATCACTTCTTTTGTGTTTTTTTATTGGAAGAAAGACCAAAAGTCACGATTCAAATTTTGAAGTGAAAAATGGCGGTTATGAATTTTGGAATCACGACATGACTACTTGATATACTTGAAATTGCAAAAATATCGATGTTGCATTCTGGGAGCCAGTCCTCCTTGAACCAAAATTGAATTAAACAAAACGACAAGAATCATACATACTAAATGTGGATGTACCATAACAAGAAATTCCACTCAAAAAATATGTAATAAATCATAGTTACAATCAATCGAACACACAAGCAACGTAACTGTATCACCCAACAGCAAAGTGACACAGAAAATGTGTGTAGAATGTGATAAACGAAATCATGTTATAATTTCTCTACGCTCTTTACTACGGCTTACAATATATCGACTCTCCTCACGCAGATAGCTCTTACTTACAGACCTTACGTAATCTGTTACTCTTGTGATAATTTGAGAAATTAGCTACCCTTCACTTTAGAGCCATCGTGGTAGTAAAAATAGAACTGTAAATTGGTTTTAAAATAGGTTTTAACAGTGTTCAATTCACACAGCATGGTTCATGATAAAATTAGTTTCAAGACCAAAAGACATAGTTAGTCGCATTCGACAGAAGGTAACACCACCTTCCTACACAACTCTTTGTCGACAAATTGAAATACAGTGAAATCTTTTAATTATATAAGTGGAGCACCTCTAGAAATGGAAAACCTCCGTTAGTTGAACATTTTTCAGAGTCCAAAGACCAACAAACTTAATGTTAAATGAACTTGACGAGTTTTGAAGAGTTTCAACATTGATGAATTTGGATTCGACACTCGAGAACATGGTTTAAGATATGCAACTAAAAAGTACGCGAGATGTGTTTTGAGTTCGTTCAATGTAACAGTACACTCCAAAAATAATTGGTATCGGATTTCGTTTATAACGCAATATAGCAATTGTGTAATTTCTTATTGATAAACGATATAGTGTACGGTGACAACAACTAGCACTTTTAAAATGATTTCTGTTCAATGATTTATATTTTTAGCATTTTATACACTCAAAAATCGTCAAAAGTCTCATAATACTAAAGATATAGTAGGCCATTTTATTAACGTATTATCTAAAAATGGAGCATTGTAATACGTTTAATAGAGATACTAATCAGAAAACATTCCAAATGCAAAATTAGAACAAAAACAGCCAATGAATAATAAACAAGATTTATAATAAATTCATATAACGTTACCCCATAATCTAATCATATAACGACCTTTGAATATTTATATTTGATATTTAAATAAATAGTTAATATAAATGCGTCTAGACTAAATCGCATTGAGCATTTTTGCAATCGATATACTATGATATGTACGAGCTATGTACACACACGTCCAATAGGAGCAGAAAGAAAAAGAGCATTGGTAGGCAAACCTTGGTATCCCAAACACTAATCCAACTGTCAAAGACCCCATCTTTGCAATACAATATACGACGTACTACATAAACATATTTAGAAACTTATTTTAGAGTGCACAGATTTAGAAACGAAACTTTTATAATGGTGTACATATTTCGAAAATTATTCAACAGTGTAATGGTTTAGAAACTCATGGATCCAGGACATAACCATGTTGCTTCATCAAGCTTCGGACCTATCCTCACGAATGTAGAACGATAGAACGTAGTGATTGAGCGTGGGAACCGACGATGGGACATAACAGTATCTTATTAAAACGTGTTTAGGAGAAGAAAAGAGCTTTAAAATGCTTTTTAATTGAAGCTTCTTGCTCAATTTTGAAGGAATTGGCATCAATTTTTGTGAAATTCAAGATACATCTTACTTTTTTGGCTTGTTTATGCCACAATCTGACTGAAAACCGATTTCTTTTTGGCGATCGCACCCCCTGACTGAAAGCTGGCTACGCCCCTGACACTGTACGTGTATATATATATAAAACTTATTAATGTATATACAGGTTTAGAAACCTTACCCATACACAATGCACAATGCCCCTGTTCCATTCATTGATTACATTTACTTAACTCTGTTTTACAGTTTGTAGAATCACATTAATTCATAGACCTAGAAGAAATATTCTATCAAACGATCTCGTTTAGATGAAAGTACTCAAATATTATTAGACAATTTACAAGATATATGTTCAAAGTAGTACCATAATAATGTTATAACTTTGATGTAATGGAGATTATCAGTGATTCATGTAACAGAATTGGTACATAAACAATAAATTAATAACATATTTGAGAACAACGACTATCACATCAATGTTATTATCCACAATTATTTATCGTTTTCAACCATTTTCAACTGAGTTACGAATGCACGAGTTATCTAACCATTTTAAACTGAGAGACGAATGCACGAATGCTCTAACCATTTTCAACTCAGCAACGAATGCACGAGTGTTGCAACCATTTACAACTAAGTGACGAATGCACGAGTGCTCTAACCATTTTCAACTCAGCAACGAATGCACGAGTGTTCCACCATTTTCAACTAAGTGACGAATGCACGAGTGTTCCACCATTTTCAATTAAGTGACGAATGCACGATTGATTCAACCATTTCCAACTAAGTGAAGAATGCACGAGTGCTGCAACCATTTTCAACTCAGTGACGAACGCATGAGTGCTCGAATCATTTTCAACTAAGTGATTAATGCGTGAGTGCTTCAACCATTTCAACTAAGTGACGAATACACGAGTGCTCCAAACAATTTAACCAAGTGACGAATGCACGAGTGCTCCAACCATTTTTAACTTAGTGAAGATTGCACGAGTGCTCTAACCATTTTAAACTAAATGACGAATGCTGATTAGTTAAAGATCAAATAAAAATATTCCATGATCAAAGAGTGCAGATGAAACCCTATCTTAAAGAAAATAGTTATTTGTCTACAGTACTACGGTGAAATACACAACGAAAGGTAATGAACCGTGACATTGACAGCTACGGAGCGACTATTGTACCTCATAAACCATGCATGTAATGAGAAAACTGACACCAAAGCGGTGCAGTTCGGACTCTAAAATCCCTATTAAACGGCAATTATTATAAGGATTATGATGTTACGACAAAACTTTATTAATGTTGTAATATACGAAGCATATGTTCTCATTTGTTCTCATTCACCGTTGATATCCATAAAGAAGCTACTAATCCCAAATGCAGTATATAACACATTGTCTTTAGAAATTACATTGAATAAAGACTCGTGTTTGAAAACGTTAACACTTTGTAACTCTTTCCCTTTGCATCTATTGTTGGTTAAAATATTCAAATTTTTCGACAAAGCCCATTGTCCATTCCTTCATTGGCTGTACAAAATAATAATTTATCTGATAAAATAGTGATTTGTTTAGATTTGAGCCACTGGTTTCAAAACCA